TGGGGCTGGGACAAGCTGCCTAACTGGGGTGGGGGCACACAGCAGCACTCAGAGCAGGGGCTCTGTCCTGCTGCCACTTGCCCAGCTGGCACGTGGGGGCGGGTTGTGGGTACAGCTCACTCCGGGTAGGAGGGCAAGCAGCAGCAGGGCACAGCCCCCACTCCCAGCACTGCCATGCCCACATCCCACACACCCCACCCCAGCTGGACAGCTTCCCCCAGCCCCAGTCCCTCCCCCAGCCCCAGACTTACCAGCTGGAAGCATCCGTGTCAGCTGCCTGTTTAGTCTATGGCTGAATCTTTTCCAAATTGATTTGATGCTTCAGCTCGATTCAGAGCTTTTAACTAGTCTCCTGATTAGATTTGGATTTTGAGGCTTTGTCCCCAAATCAGGCCAAATCTGAATCAAATTGGCTACCAAAGCTTTGCATAGCCCTAATAGACAATCAGCTGATCACCAAACAGCAACCAAAGGAACCTTGGCATAGAACAGTTCTTTATCAAAGAAAAGCTGAACTGCCAATTACATCCTAAATCAGCACAGGCATGCCAGTTAGATCAACACAGGCAAGATCCCAGAGGAAGGTAAAGGGTCAGTGACAAAAAGGTTTAGAGAGGCTGCTCTGGAGTTCAGAGGCCTGACCCCATCAGCATCACGTAAACAGTTCAGATTCCAAAGGCAGTTTCCTCACCTGCTCTTTATGCTGAGCTGGATTGTATTTGCAGTCCCTGTCCATGTGTGCTCCAACTACAACATCTGGCATTTCTCCCCTTCTCACCGGAATGGGGGTGTTACATAAAGGACATACTGGAACTTGCACATCCTGGAAATAGAGAAAAATTAGAAGTGGGACTGACAGGAAGCAAGGTTTAAAAAGCAGCCTAACCCAAGCCACCTGGCACAAAGACACAAAGCACAGGATCTTCCAACTTCCCCCTAGCAGGGAAGGGGGCAGTGAGAGTAAGGAAGAGGAAGAGACAAATGCAGCCAAGGACAGCAGCTGTGGGTCCTCCAGCAGGAGATGGAGTGACAGTGACATGGATGACAGGTGAACGGAGTCTGTGACCACGCAAGCAGAGTGGGGATGAAAGGGAGGGGTTGCTTGGTCTGAGAGATCAGAGTTTGTCCGGGTGGCCAGCAGGCCTTTGTACAGGTGCAGTTTTTGTAATGGGTTAAGGTTTTCTTTGTGGAGTGATACTCTGAATGTGTACACACACGGCACTTTTTTTTTTTGTAGCAAAATAAGTTCCCAAGGTGCTTTTTAGGCATCATTCTGGTATTAGGCTTTACACTGCATTGTTTTGTAGCTGCATTCAGTTGCTTTAAGAAGATCAAGTCAGCTAATCTAAGTCTAGAATCCATGAACTGATAAAAAGCATTGTTCAAGTGCTCAAACTGACTTCCTAGGAAGTCTCATTTCTCTTTCCATAGCATGTTTGTCATGTGATGTCCCCCACCCCCAGGGGAAGCTGAAGGACAGTAAAGCCCTCAGTTGATAGCCACTCCTTTAATGAACACAGCAACAGCAATAATCTTCAGAGCCTTGCTAAGAGGCAAGATGGAAGAAGCCTCGTCCGTTTTCACTCAGAACTTTACCGGTTGCTGGGCCCCCAATATTTCTAGCTTTTTTCACCCCCCCCCCTTGTCTTTTAGGAACTGTAGTTCCGGTTTCACAGCCATTTTTCCATACGTGACCTGGAGATTCCCAAAGGGTGCAAACATTTGAGTTATTACTAATATTGACACTCACCTTCTTGTATGCATAGGTACATTTGTGCTGGTCATAGGTGATATGATCCTTGCAGAAAACCTCCTCACATGCATCACATTTTAAAGGAAGAAAGTCTGCAAGAAGCAAATACAGCCAGCTCATGAAATCCTCACCAGGGAAGGTTTCATAGTTTCTAGGGTCGGAAGGGACCTGAGCAGATCATCTAGTCCGACCCCTGTCATGGCAGGAAAGAGTACTGGGGTCAAACGACCCCAGCAAGGTGTTCATCTAACCTCCTCCTAAAACCCCCCAGGGTAGGAGCCAGCACCACTTCTCTTGGAAGTTGGTTCCAGATCCTAGCCGCCCTGACAGTGAAGTCGCGCCTCCTGATGTCCAGTCTAAATCTCCCCTCTGCCAGGTTGTGACCTTTGTTCCTGGTCACTCCTGGCTGTGCTCGGGGGAACAGTGACTCCCCCAATGCCTGCTGATCCCCCCGACTAGTTTATAACAGGCCATTAGATCCCCCCTCAGCCTTCTCTTGTGGAGGCTGAACAGGTTCAGGTCCCATCGCCTCTCCTCGTAGGGCCTGTCCTGCTGCCCCCAATCATGCAAGTGTACAAGTTGACCAACGAAAGCACCATTTGGAAAGAGCGCCAGTAAGATTACCAATGTACACTTACACATTCAGCAAGCAACCCCCCCAAAACACTGCATAAAAAGGAGCCGAGAGATTGTAGCATGTCCTGGATAGGTCTATCTGTAGATAAACATGCTTTTTTATTTCTGATTCCGGGATCCCCCCTCCATTCAAATATTTCACCTCTCTGATAAAAAAAAAAAAAAAGGTACGATACTCCAAAATGCAGCGAGTGGTAGGCTGCATATCAGGCTCTATACTGGATAACTCCTTTTTAGCTGCAAAGTCCGAGCTAGGAGGGGACAGGACACGCATAGAGCCATCCCCGGCACACCCCGCCGTCCGCCGCAGGAGCTCACCCAGCCGCCGGCAGGAGCTCGCGGAGCAGGGCTGGCCTAGGCCCGGCAGCTCCATCGCACGCGCCGACGAGAGCGGGGCACCGTCCCCGCGCCAGCTACGGCCTGAAGCGATGGGCGCAGACTTGGGCTCGGGCCGCCCCTTTATCCGCCCGCTCTGCTGAGTCACGCCGCTGGCCCCATTCCCGCCGAGTCACGCTTCCGCGCAGCGCGAAGGATGACATCACGCCCCCCTTTAGCCAATCACGGCTCTCCCCTCGGCCAGTTCTGATGAGCTCAGCCGGTAGGCGGCCAATCGGTGGCAGGCCGCTGTGCTGAGTCAGGGGTGGGGGTAGGAAGTTATTCAGCCTTGGGAGGGTCCTGGGCAGGCTCCCCAGTCGCCCAGACCTGCCCTGCCGGGCGTGCTGTAGCCCGGGGCCAGCACCGGTCCGTGCCGGGGGGCTCGCAGCTCGCTGTGCTCTACCAGGGCAGGTCTCGGGACAAACCTCAAGCATTTCCAGGACTGCACTTTTCATAGAAAGTGAGGGCTGGAAGAGACCTCAGGAGGTTATTTAGTCCAACCCCTACTCAGAGCAGGACCAGCCCCAACTAGAGCATATCCTATTGTGTTATTATCCTATAGCATGAATGTGTCGCCGTAAAAGCACCTAGCGCCACACAAGGTGCGAGTCCAGGGTGGGGCCGATCCAGGCAAAGGGGTGTTTGACGTGAGGGGTCATTCAAGAAAGCACCCAATAAGCCCACATGGCGCTTTGCCCCTCGCTCAGCCTGTGGGACAACTCTTCAAGGACTTGTGCCTACAATTACACTCACAGATAAGAATTTCAACCAAAATCTAGATGGCTAAGCCATCCATTTAGATATTGACATGCAGCCCATGGATGGCTAAAGGTTGAAAAGACCTCAGCGACATACTGGAAACGTTCTTCAGCAGAGCAGGTTGCTCGTGGGTTCTGTTCTGAGCTTTTCTCCCTTCTTTGGCTTTAGACAAGCTGCTGAGGCCAGGCAGGAAGGTCTGGTTTTGGCTGCCCAGAGAGTGTTTATCTGATGGGGAACTGGAGGAGAGCACACAGACATTTGACTGAGGATGACTAAGGCAGGTACATGTGGCCCACAGACAAAAACAACGTGGGGATCACATGATTCCTTTGTGACACTGTTGTGTCACACTGACATGACTCACCACCATGGACAATTCCCATCTAGAACTTGAACCTCAAGCCAGGGTTAAAAGTATAAAGGCCTCACAGAGTGACTAAGCACCTCCAAAAGGACACGAGGAATAAGTAGAGAGTCTACAGGAATAGAAAAATATAAAATACAGGCAGTCCTCAGACTTATGACAATTGGTTTCTGAGATTTTTGCCTTAAGTTGAAACGTTGCAACTCAGAACTGATTTTCCCATAGGAAACAATGTTATAAAATGGGGGATTGGTTCCTGAACCAAAGCCCGATACCCTAGTTTCACCAAAAATAACCGAGAATTTTGTACTCAATCCAATATAGACAAGTAATATAGCTACATTAATGCGTTTACATTGTAAATAGCAATCATATTGATTTGGAAAGACTTCTTTGAGGTGACTTGGCTGGACTTTTTGAAGGGTTCTTGGCTGGAGTCTTCTCAGGAGTCTTGGCTGCTTTCTTAAAGGCAATGTCCAAGGAAGTTTGGACAAATGTTCTCCAGGGAGATGCGCGACAGCAAACTTGTTCGCTGGCATGGCATGGTGTTGGATCAAACGCTGTGAAGTCAAAACAGGTCAGAAAGTTGAAACGGGGTGTCAATTTATAAATGTTGTAAGTGCGAAACATAACTCGAAATGTTGCAAGTCGAGGACTGCCTGTAAAATGGACTGGTCAGCAAAGAAAGTCTATTCAAGTCAAGAAGTGAAGGGATGACGCAAGAATTGCCAGAAGTGACGCTGAGTTGGACCTTGCAAAGGGTATTGAAACAAGTGACAAAAGGTTCTTCAGCCATATAAATATGACTCTTGAGCCTGAAAGCCTGATGTGTCCCAGGAAGGGGTACTCAGAGCTGCTTGGTCTGTTCCCTAAAGCCACTTACACTAATTGCAAGTTCTATACGGATTTGTTCCTTTGACTTACATTGCAAACCTCCTCCACATTCAAATCCTCAAGCAGCTGACTTCACCAACCAGTTCCATTAATATAATTTGCCCTTTGGAAACCTGAGACCTTTAATTACAGACTCCCATTTTAATTTAAGCTGAACCAACTCGTGATTACTTGACCCAAACTTGTTTTCCATTCTATAATGCTATTTGCCAAAAGCAAGTCTGAAATAGCATCACCTGTTGGTTCAGGAAGTAATTGGTAAAAAAAAAAAAAAATCTGTCAGCAATTACATGCAGGAATAAGTGGGCTCTGGTATTATTAGTAACATTCATTCTCTGATCTACATCTGTGGAGTTAAGGTTCCCCATAAAAAGTGACCACAAGGAGTGAATGACCCTGTAAACAGCACAAGTGAAGACAAAATAGGAAGAACACAGCAGCCTCAGGAACACAAGCAAGAAGAAAAAATATTCTTTGGAGAAGCTGGGAGATTGAGAGGCTGTAGCTAAATTCAGGAGTCTCTTCTCCAAAGCAAGAGAATTTACATATATGCCATTATTTGCTACTTTATGGCACAGTTAGTGATCATACAATTAAGTCATGTTTGGAAAGCAAGAGGAACAGAAAGCCTGGAGTTTGACTGTGATATATGGCAGGGGAGAGCTCACATTAGAGATGAGGAAACTGAGGCATGAGAAAGGTTTAAGTGACTTACCTAGAATAGCAGAGTACTTGCACCCAAGTGGATAATAGAGCGCTGTCTCCTAGCTTCTTGCATTAATCCCCAGCCTCTAACATAGTCAAGCATCAGTGATAGGAGAAAGGTGGGCACTCAGGTTGATGCTTTTCAAGGCACCTGGAATAGTGCTGGGGCTGCAGAAATTTGTCAAGTTCAGGCAAACATGCCAAACAATCCCATCTGCGGTAACAGGACAGCATGGCTGCTTTCCCCTACTCATTTATGTCAGACTCATATAATTTGAGCTCTATGCAATTTCTGCTGTAGCGGATGGTGGCTGGGAAAGGTATCACTAACCATTTGGGTCAAAACAATCCCATTGGGCCCACTTCAGTCATTAGCAGTTTTACCTGCGTAGAGATTACATGATCGAGCCTAATAGTCTTCCTATAGGCTCCACAGACAGTCCTCAGACAGTCTTTTTCTGTCCACAGCTGCAGTGGATCATAAATGCTTAAGCACTTGTCTCTTCTTAGAGAACATTTAGTGCTCAAGTGTGAGCTGTGATGTGACAGGTTAGTCGTCACTGACTTAGTGAGTCCCCAGCGTTCCCTCCAAGCTTGCTCAGAGCACACATAGACATGGCAGCACCTGAAATCCATCCCAAAGAAACTGGCAAAGGCACAGCAGAAGTCATCAAGGTACCACCGGGATGTAAAGAGAAATATAAGCAAGTGTTTTTTTATAAATATAAACAATGCAATATAGGGAGCTAGAAAAAGGAAATCAGGCACAGGAGAATTAAATGGCTAATTATGAAACCACAGTTACACAGGCAATATTCAATAAGCAGCTGCAGATCCCAACAATTGTGCAAATGGGGCAAGAATTATGCAGAATTGTGTATTGAGCTAAATGGAATCTTATGCCTGGACTTCCTCATGCTGGCTAAGGGCATAAAGCAATCGGAGGGGTGTGCTTCTTTCCAAGCAACGCTTAACAAGCAGCTATGGGTCTTGTATGGAGACTGTGTATAAGTAGGCTTGGTAGGATTTGATTTGTTTTATCGGTAAACTTTGATAAGCATTGATTTCACCCCATGCTCACAGCCCGACAAGAAATATTTCCATCATAAATAATCAAACTTTATAGAAAGGGGGCATAAGAAAAGTGATGGCTGATGCAGTGTGCGATGACGACAGGGAGAGAACCGTGCCCACTATAGTTTGGACTGCAACTCTCAGAAACCCCAGGGGACTGGGGACAAAGGAAAAGGAAGTGACAAAGTGGATGAGGGAGCTATGGGTGAGCAGAGCCAGGACTGCTGGCAGCTCTGCTGCTTAGCTGGTGGCAATCCTACCCCTCCCCAAACCCTCTAATTTCATACAAAATTGAAAAATTAAATTGATAACAATTGAAACCAATGCTTAAAAATAAACATCAATATTATCCATTGAAATTATTAAAAAACAAAAATTGAATTCTGCCAAGCCTATGTCTAGGAGACTTCTAGCAAGGACAGGTTCATGCTCCCCTTGAGAAGAAGGAATCTCTTAGTGATTAAATTCGTATTGAATTGGTTGATCTGGGTTTTAAGACCAAACTCATCACGATCTTTGAAAGTTGGGAAGGTCTTAGATGATAAAGCTATGGGAATCAGCAGATCAAATCAGAGCTTTGAAGATACAACTTTACTGTGAAATGTCCTTGACAGTCATCTTTGGCCTGATGGAAACAGAGTTTTCCTTCCATCAACAGGCATTTAAATATTCTGTATGATGTGAAAACCAGGTCAGATAAATAGCTTTTGCATTTATTTCAGAAGTCAGTAAGAGCTATTACTATTTTCATACTTCCAAGGACCAAGCTCCATGGTTGTGGAAGTTGCCTCCCTGAGGTTCCCTCTTGCCAATGACAATCAACCCAGTAGAATATGGCTTGTCATGGTCAGGTAAAAAGAGACCTAGGCCTTAGGCCAAATACTTTGAATTAGATACCTACAGGATTCTAGTGTATATAGAAAGGCTTTGGGGTGATGTAGTCCGTGTTACTGTGTAGGCATGTTGTCATATTTTGAACCAGCGAGAGAATTTCAGGTTTGGTGTAGTGAGTACTGGATATTTCTGTATAACTTTATGAAGAATGGGCATGACTTAATTTCTCCCAGTCACAGAAGAGACACATTTCTTTCTGCAGACAGGGTAATATGGAATGGGTGTTTGTCATATGGGCAAGTTTGTGTTGGTAGGAATGAACTGTCAAGAGCTGTCAACATAGGAGTGGAGCTTCATTGAACATAGGATGGAAGACCAAGAGCCAGATATAACTGTTAATGGCTGTCAGTTGAGGAGAACAAACCTGCCATCATCAGACCTGGAGCTGAGACCTGTATTAGCAAATCAGAGACTG